GATTTATTTTATTCTAAAATAGAATGCTTTTCATCAAGAAAAATTATTGACTAACTTAAAAAATAGAAAAGAAAATATAAAAAACAAATAGAAATTCTTTTTTTTTTTGAAGAAATCAGATTTTTAGAATTAAAAGGATTTGTTAGTTGTATCTGTGTGTGTATAGGATTTGTTATGTCGTTGGCATTATATATGAGAATAACTCTTATTCATTTTCTTCCTTTTCTTTTTCTTTCATGGTAGAAAATCTAGAAAAAGACAGAAAGAGAAAGAGAGATGATGAACTAACCGCTAACAAACACGAAGGACAATGATTACCACCGGCTCGGCGGGTGCTCTCACACCGACACGCGACTTCTGATCCTTCACGCACGATCCAACACCGTGTCTACACAACAGCTACTGCACCTGCAATCAAGGAGCATACGCAAACGTGCTTGGCTCGCGATCGAACACGTACAGTGTGCTCGATTAACAACATTCTACAAAATTCCAACTATTTTTCAACAACAATTAATACAAAACAAATCAATATTTATCAGAAAAATTACAATACTCTTTTATATTTTTTATATCATTTTTCTAACACCACGTATTAACATCATTAAAGATTAAATCAAAACATTTCAATGTTTTAATGTTAAATTAATTCATATCAAATCAATTGAAAATCCTTGTAATTATTTCATTAAACAACTTGAAACAAAATAAAAAAGAAAACAAGATGATATAAATATATATATATTATTTATTTAATTACGTTGATGATTACTTTTAAATATGATAATTTGTGATAATCTGATAAGTTCAACTACTAACACTGTACCTTAAGCTACCTAGGTTTATTATGAATCCCTTTTTGCTTTCTCGTCGTCTTTCTCTCGTAATTTTGTAATAATCGTTGGTGGGGCGACACGGTAAAGGAAAGAGAGACTGGTCTGGTGTATGAAAAATCGTCAGAACGATAATCATGGTTTTTTTTTAATTTTTTTTTGTTTTGTTTTTTTTTTTTGAGAAAGAGAGAGAGAACGTCGGGAGTGGCGTCATTAAAAGGTATATCGCGCACCGTCATCAACAACGCAATATATGTGTGTAAAGCCTGTATATTCTTGCTACGGAGCATGATCTACGTTAGAGAAACTTCTACGGAAAAGCAACAGTCTATCCTTGACCGGTAGTATCGAGATAATTCTAATCAAAAATTATACGAAAGAGAGAAAAACTTTGTGCTTTTTCTCATAATCATTTTAATTAATCAATCTAACAATTCTATACGCAAAACGTTTTCGTAGAATTCGTTTAATATTGTCGATGATGATCATCATCATCATCTATTTTATAATTATTCATTCATTTATTATTATTCTTTTTTGTTTATACGTTTGTGTGCACTTTCCCCTTAAGACTTGATTCTCATTTTTCTTAACCCGAAGTATCGAGAAAATTAAAATAAAAAATATACCAGATCGAAGAACTCTTTGAACTATTTCTTAGAATGATTCTACTAAATTATTCAATTGTATTATCAATGCAAACGATTTCGTAGAATTCGTTTAAAATTATCGATGATTTATTTACAATATTATTTGATTAAATTATTAATACTTTTTTTTGAGGGGTTTATCTTTTTACACTTTTCTTTCCGCCTTTCACTTTTATCGAAGTATCAATCGATTTAACATTAGAAATATAATCTTGACGCATCTCGTAAGCTTCCTCTAATTGAGCTTTTCTTTGTGTACTATTTTCTTCGTAAATGTTCCACAATTGTTTATATTTTGTTATTTGTTTTAACGACCAATCGTTTAATCGTTGAATAAAATGATCGTGTGAATGATTAAATTCAAGAATATCAGCGTATAGTCGATCGTTCAACAATTCTTCTTCTGATTTGGTTCTCGTTCGACGTTCCTTTCCATTTTCTTCAATTTTTTCGTATTTACTCAAATCTAATTTTGGTAAATGAAAACTGCGATATTTAGGTTCTTTCAAAGACCTAATGGCAAAATTTTCCGTTGAAGAAGATGATCGACAAATCTTCGATGAATTTCGAACTTTGTGTTTTTCCATACGTTCGTTCGTTTTAACAGAAATTTTGTTATTTAAATTATTCAAAGAAGTTGTTGAAGGAGGTAAAGCGTGGGCGTTTAAAAAAGTTTCTCTGAGTTGTTTGCAACGTTTAGGTCGTTCAGGATCGTCCTTTGACCAGGATTCTTTCAATGATGCTATCTCCTCTTCTCTTCTTTTGTCTTGAATAATCTTTTTCATAACAAAAACAAATATTTATTATTTGCAAAAGCAAATTATAAATTTTATTTTATTTTATTATTTTGTTTAGAAATAAAATTACCTCTACACCACTGTCAGCATCGATGACAGCTTGCAATGTCCAAAAAGGTGGATCCAAATGTTGATCATTTTGATGTTTTGAACTACGTCTCGTTCTTGTTGTTTCAGATCTCTTTATTAATCTGATAGACGAACTAATACTAGATTTATTACGAACCGGTAAGTTTTCCCTTTTTGTCTTTTTCTCCAATACCTTGACAAAATTTATAAACTCAATCTCATTGAATTATTTTTATATCATTTATAATTTAATTTGTTTTAACTTACCACTGACCATTCAGCATCAGTTAACGGCCAACTATTATCAAGAACAAATGCTTCGATGTAATAAACAGTTTGTGAATCTTCTAATTTCAAATATACAACTGGAATACACAAAATCGATCTACCTTCGATTTCTAACAAAACGTTTTCTTTATTATCAACTATTCTAATTTTCATTTGAACCAATTCGTAAGAGGTCATTAATCTTAATGATAAGACACTATCTTTAACGATATTGACGATCCATTTAGAAATTAGATTCATTGAGTTAGGTATATAAGTATTAAATGTTTCTTCGATAATTAAATTAGGTATTTTCGTGTTCAATGATATTGGTTCCTTGTCAGTTAATTGATAAAACATTGATTTTCCTTTGATGGTAACAAAATGAATAATCCATTCCACGTCTCTTAATTTTGGATTATCACACCATCCATAAGCGAATAACGTGTAACCACAAGTTGTATAATGATAATTAGACGGTGCAACGTTGTTAACGATTCTCCACATTTCTCGACCGGTTTCATTCTCGAATAATCGCAAATTGTGACACGACAAGTTGGTAAAAAGTTGTATCGTTCCAAAGATCGTTTCATTTTCTTTTGCATTTACGATTAGTCTGGTTATTGGAATCCACTGATTGGGTTTAACATTTAACAAATGTCCTTTGCACTCTTGAATCTGGAACGAAGTAAACAAAAATATATTTTTTGTTTGTATGGTAATTTTTTTAAAATTACCTTTAATACGTATTGAAAGTCTTCAGAGCAAGGATAAGCTTCGTTAAATCGTTGATTTTTTTCTATGACCTTTCGAATCAAACTAGAAGCTAACGACTCGCCATTAGAATAATCAAAAAGTTTAGCGATCTTTAATAGACCCGTTAAGATCTTCGAATGATCCTTGTGATTGATATTGTGTCGTTGTTTATAACGTTTAACTATGACCATCTTAAAAAATGATTGAATCACCGTTGCCGCTTGATTATAATCGATCCGTGTCGCCATTTCGCCATCGATCGATTCACTCGAGTAATAATTTTCTTTAAATATAATCGACTCGTTGTCGTTGTCGTCGTCGTTGTCGTCGTTGATTTCTCGGAATGCATTCAAAATGATCGACGGAGTTTTGTGACGTTCGTAACCAATCATAGGATCTAAAAAAAATATTCTCAAGGATGATAACATTTCGGGAATGTCTTCCGATTGAAAAATCATTTTTATCGATTCCAATAATTCTTCTATGAAATAATCGTGTATTTGTTTGTAAAAAGCACGATCACGTCTTTCGGTTAAGTTCGTTAAATCTGGCATATAACTTCGATAAAATGCCATCAAGTTTTTCACATAATTTATATTACCAAAACTGGAAAAAGCTGTAGAAATAGAATTGCTAATTTGTTTGACAAGAAAATCAATTCTATCCGATTCCGTGATCATTAAACGATGTATTTTAAAACGATCACCTACGTGAAAGATCGTGTTAGATGAGATCGATACGAAACAATGTGACTCAGATCGACAATAAATACGCAAAAGATGTCTTCCTGATTCTAATTCCAATACTCTCGATTTGCTACCAGACGTTGAAATTGATATAAGTGTTCTTGATTCGGTTGGCCTGTAAAACCAACTATGTTTTTCTACGATGAGATAACTCACATCTTCGGATGATAATCTTATGGTTATCGAATCATCTACCACATCTTCTTCGTTCGAGACTTGACTCGAAAATGGTAATCTTTTTTCCATGATACTCAAATTTATTAAGAAGAATTTATCCTCTAATGAATCGCAAAAAAGATACAACGGTTCGTTTCTGGATGATTTCATACTTCTAGGCCAAACATAAGTGTTCATAAATTCAATCGAATCACCATGAACAACTCCGGTTGTTGAACTCTTTTTACTACCTTTTTTCTTCTGTTCCCTCGATGCCAAATTCATTTTCTTCTGATCATCCAATAAATAGAAATCAGACATTTTCAATGTAAATTCGAAATATTCAGGTTTGTAATAGAGTTGAATTGTTTTCACGTACGATGCCATTTTATTGAAATCGCACCAAAAACTGATATCATCAATCGTATCTTCTTTCACATTATTATTCAAAGATGTTATTTTCTGATGTTTGGTATCTCTCAAAAAATCGTTATTAAATAAATATCGATTATTATTGCATTGTCTCAAGGGACTAACGATTTTTAAACAACGAATAGGAATAAAATATTCCGCTGGATCGAGCAAACCTCGATCGATGGCCCAATTTATCCATCGATATTTTTTCCATCTTGCCAAAGGTTCTTTTATCTATTTAACGAGGAAAAGATTCTATATATCTGTTTGTTTATTAAAACAAAAATTCTATCATAGAGAATGAATAGTTTACGTCTTTGGGATTTAATGGAAGATCACGCGATTGAACAACGTGAACCAAATGGCTCCAACAAGGCGACAAACCGGCCACTGTCTCGGGCGTGACCTCTTTCATATCTTTCAAATCGAGAAACAGCGTGATAGGTCGAGGTTTATCGGGAAGTTGCAACCCTTCAATGCCTCGACGAATTCTTTTCCCTTTTATGCTAGACTTTTTCTCGACTTCATCGTCTAAACAAAAAATATATAAAAATCCTTTTGATAAGAAAAGGATAAATCATTTTTTAATATTCTTTTTTTTCTTTTTTACAAAGTTTATCTATGAAAATACTGTGTTTAGAGATACAATTATTTGTCTATCTTATAAAATTTATCAATGATGACAAAAATAAAGCAAACCTAGCTTTACGTTTTCCAAGTTTGTTCCATCCTTCTTCAATTCAAAGTGTTCAGCATATTTTACTAAAAATTCCCACTTGTCTAAAGGAGGAAGTCGAACAACGTCCAAAGACAAACAAATCCATCCTGTCAAAACAAATTAATTAATTATATTTTTTTCATAAATATATTGTTTAATAGACTAACATTAAATGTTAAATATTTTTCTCTTTAACAATTATATACTTTAATTTTATTCAAACATAATTATGTAATAATTTAATATAAACATTTATGAATTAAAAATAATAAATATATTTATTTAATTATATTTATTTCTTTTTTGTTTTTTTTTTTTACGTACCAGTGAGACAAGAAATCGGATTAAAATCCACGATTTCTCTTCGTTGGGACCAAGTTAAAGATGCGATTTTTAATAAAGCTTTTGCCAAAAGTATTGGCCATAATTCGGCATGATTATCTGTAGTTGGTAAGACAGGATTACCATCCTTATCGACTGGTATAAAATCATCCACCACTATTCGACGCCAACATCCCAAAAAATGAAGACGTACGATGTATTTTCCTAATGAAATATTATGCTTATTATATCTTATAAATAATAATTAAATAAACGAAAAACATATAAAATAATCCACTTACCATTTGGATTAATAATTGGACGATGATGTACATTACGACCAGCTTTATTATTCGAATAAACGTGCATCCAACCCTGCCATTTTTCTTCTCGTCCATTCCAAATAAAATGATCTGATTCTCCACTTATTTCTAAACCATTTTTCCCACAATATTGTAGATTTATAATACTTGAAATAAAACATCTGACGAACTAAATAATATTCGTGTAGAAAATTTAATTAAAAAAAAAAAAAATATATATTTTCTTTTAATAAAATGTCGAAAAACTTCGACGTACTTCGCTGTGCAACAGATGCTTGTTCCGTTTAATTAAATCAGGATATTCTCCGGTCATAGTAAAAACAGTTAATGGTTCCTAAAATTATCTTTCCTTGTATATAAATAAAATAAAATATAGTCACACATTAATTTTAATATACCTTTAAATCTTTTAAATAACGTGGACGAATCCATTCGTACGGTTCCAAAGATGGTGGCATCGGAGTTAATTCCGTGTCTAAAAATAATCCATCTATACCGTCTAAATTTTTAATTAATTAAATTAATTGTAATTTTTATTTTATACATTATAATAGGTTAGAAATATTTTTTATTTTAATGTATACTCTATTTACTTTTTGGTAAAGACCATTTTTCGTTATTTAATTCAGTATCTTTCCACTCGGGCCAAAGTATGGCAATATTTTCTTTCGAGTAATCGTTTAAATTCTTATCTATTAATTTTTTCGATTTTACCGAAGCATCCATTTGTATTTTATTCTTTACAAATAAATATATTATTATAATAATATGTTTCATTTGTTTGTTTTTTTTTTTGAAAAATGTATATCTTTATTATTTATTCAATTTCTTATACATTTCTGTATTTTTGTAAGACAGTGGAATGTATATATATATATTTCTACTCCTTAAAATAAGGAATTCCGAAATTTATTATTTTAAAAGAAAAATCTCTATAAAAAAATTCTACATATTATTAAACGCAATCGTAGAATTGTTAGTACCTAATATTTCATTATCGCAATTTCAATTGCAATAATAAGAATAAAAACTGATTAGCAAAATAATAAGAATTATTACAATAGTAATAAAACATTTTACAAAAAATAATTATTATTACATTTCAATATTATTATTATTAATATTAATATTATTATTATTGTTCGCTTATTCTACTAGCTTAGTGATTGTTAATTACTATTATTAATTAAACTAAAAGGGAGATATTAATAATCAAGTAATTGTCTTTTTAATGTAAATTACATAAAGTAAGTAGCTATCATTTAAGTAGCAATATTTTTGTCCCTGTCATTGTGTAAATCAACATTATATAGAATTAATTAAAACATATATAAAAGCAATATGTCACAGATTATGATCTATCCTGTCATTCGCATATAACGAGTTCTTTTAAGTCTTAAAACTATACATATGTATATATATATATAGATATAGTAACAGTTAATTCATAAACATTCGAAGCAATTCATTGCTCAAATTATATTGAACTTGTTCTATATGAAATGTATCGTTTAAATATTTTCTTTATCTTTCTTTCTCTTACGAAAAATTGTCATTTTATGTATACGATTATAATATTTGAACTATGAAAATAATGATTATTAGATTATTTCATTCAATAATATAGAATTATTCTCTCTAAATGGAGTTTATCAAAATATATATCTTTAAACGATATACATTCACAATTACTTACACATATTCGGGATCATTGATCGAATAATTAACATCTTTGTAACAACAGAAAAATATTACAAATTGTAGCATCAGTAAAAGCGTATTATTATACAGAAAAATGTATTAGGTCCGAATAACAGGATTTTTTTTTTTTTATGTACTAAATACATATTGTATACATTTAAATGCGATCAAACGTTATAACACTTAAGTTATTTTTTTGAGTTTTTTTTTGTTTATAAAACACTTGAACCGTTTGAAACATTTCAAGCGCTAGACCATCAGTTAGAGCCATTAAATAATAGATTTATTTATTTTTAATTGATGAATTATCTAAAATACGTACATCCGTGTTAATTATGCAATTGAACGTAATGTAAGCTTGATAAAAAAATATGAATTATTTTCTCGATCAAAAAATTATCCTACTGGAATTCCTGATGTAGTCTTTATATTCGTACATGTATGTCATTACGTGTATGTGTATGTGTGTTGTGTGTGTCCTTATTCGTGTGTAAAATTGCTTTTATTTTTGTTTTACCAAAAAATGCATTTTTCTATATTTGGATAGCAAGAACCAGCTTGCTTTATAACAGCGAGGATTCAATGATAGCAAATGTGTACTTTGATAAATATTTTAAATTCAAATAACAAATTATTTTCAATATTTTATCAATTTTGGTCATTTTCAAAAATCCAATTCATTTCGATTTAATTAGATATTTTGTATGTATCGGTAAATCTTTAGGAGCTTGTTTCATATTTATGGTGCCTTGATTGTTTGATGATGCCGTTCTTTCATTTCACTTAATTTTACTTTCTTTTTCATTTTACATCATTTTGGCACAAATTTTATTATCGATAATATTTCTTATAATTCGAATAATCTGGTGAAATATATTCTTTCCAAAAGAAAGAACATAAAATATGTTTAATCGTTGAGTTCAAAATGAACGTATTAGAAAAATTAACGAGTCGTGTATTTAAGACTCCATACATGTGTTTGTATATTATTATAATACTTTTTAAGTATATTTAATCTTACACGCAAAAGATTGACATCCTTTGGTATAGATTACACTTCCTAAATGTATTTGTATGCTCAACTAATCTGTGCTCCAGTATTGGCAGTGCTTGAGATATTCTTAGGCATTTTTTTTTTTTAAGCATTTTTTTCTAGTATAACTAATAGTTTAAAATCGCTAGACTTCTCAAGAAATAAATCTATTGATATTATATGCGGATTTGATATCTTATGAACAATTTTCAATCATTATCTTTTTCTAGAAATAATTCAAGCTTGTTAGTATCAAATTTGGCACCACATGCTAAGCTCTCTGACATATGTGAAATCGATTACTCTTTGATAAAACATAATATATATATATTTATAAGATTATTGCATATTTATACGATAAAATTTGATACGATGAATAAAGGGCCTGATATTAATGGACGGTAGGTTACATCTCGTCATTTCAGGGATCAATAATGTTTGTATGAAATAAAAAAATAAATCTTATACGGAAATATTGGATACAATAGACAAAAATAAACCTCTACAAATATTAGAGATCTAATATCTCCTGCATAGCAAAAAACTTCGAATGAAGTTAGGAGATCAAAATGTCATCGTATGTTGCATTACTGCTGCTTGGTATCGTCAATTCCTATTATTACAACATTTCTGTACGTGTTTAACATATTTTTCCAGGTCCGGATGCACGTTGATCTTCCATTCGTCCAGCTTGAAGTCTTTGGATCAAAGCAAATAAATCTTCTTCTGGAACTGTTGAACCAGAGTGGGTATTTCCATTAGGTCTTGGATTTCTTTCTTCTTCTGCATCTTGTAACGATGATGAAGCTGGTAATGGACTACGTTGATCTTCTAATCGTGAACCCTAAAATTGTACAAAATTAATTAAGAAAAAATATATTTAAAGAATTAATCAATTTACGAATGAATTTCATCAGACGAAACTCACTTGACATCTTACAAGCATTTCGATGAACGAATCATCAGCATCTGCATGTGCTTGAGTAGATGATTTAGCTTGATCATTTCCATTAGTATTTAATCCTGGCAAAAAGGGTAAAGTAACACGTTGTTCATCCATTCTTTTACTTTGCATTCCAGCAATCAATTCCATCAAATCTTCTCCGTCTCTAAACATGTAATTAATTATATATATATGAAGTCACGAAACAAATAATATTTCACACAATGTTAAATACGTGAATTAAAATTATACATACTTGTCATTTTCAGGGGTAATACTTCGAACTTTAGCGTTACGATTGACACGAAGAGCACAACGTTGATCGTCCATTCTACCAGATTGAAAACGAGATAAAAGATCAAAGAAGTTATCTTCCTCTTTTTGCAGCATTAATTGTGCAGTAGCACTGCTAGCAACATCTGGTAATGGTTCAATAGGCTCCTTTTGTTTACCATCGGGTGTAAGCTAAAAAAAAATAATATACTGCATCATTCTCCATTCATATGAATGATGTATTACATTTATTTATTTAATAATAATAATAATTTCAACCTTAATGAGATCTAAATTATCCATGCTCTGTCGACGAAGTCTGTATCTGCCAGGAGATGAATTATTGTAATTCGATGTTGCATTTGTAGTAAGTTTATTCATTTGATTTTCTTTATTATGCTCTGGTCCTTTTTCTATACCCAAAAGTTTTTGTAAATCATCAACGTTCATTTGTGCAGTAGCCTGTCCCATTGGATCCTCTAATTCTTTCGAAATACTCAAATGTAAATTTGCATAATATAATGCTTTCTCATGGTTGCCCATAGCAGCATATGCGTTGCCTAATGACCAACATGCACGTCCTTCGCCTACACGATCTTTCAATTGTTGAGCAATTCCAAGGTGCCATAAGTGATATTCTATAGCGGCTGGATAATCACGAAGAAGTGTATATGTGTTTCCTAAAGAATAGCATGCTTGAGCTTCCACTTCTCTATCACCCAATTCTTGTGCAAGAACCAAAGTTCTCCTATAAGAAATATTAATGATTACTTTAATTATGTTCTTTTAATATTGCTGATATAAGAATATTCTTAGAAAATAGGATATTTACTTATAATGCTGTGCAGCCTTCTCAAATTCTCCAAGAAATATGTGTGAATTTCCTAGGTTACTGTTTGCCCTTCTTTCCGCCGCTTTATCACCAAATTCCTTAGCAATTTTTAATCGTTCATTGTGATAGTATATGGCTTGCTGAAAATCTCCCAAAAGGTAGAACGTATTACCTAGATTGCCACAAGCTCTACCTTGTGCAGCTGAATCTTCCAATTCTCTCATAAGTTCTAAATTTTCTCTATACATGTACAATTTAAATATATATTGAAATATATGTTTAAAGAATTTTTAATTTTTAACTTTATTTTATTCAAAATATTCTTACTCGTAATATCGCACAGCTTCCTGTAAACACTGTCTAATATCTTCAGAAAATTCTCCAGGATCATGTTGTCCTACTCTTCCAGCTTGTTTTCCTTTTGCATGATATACGTTTCCCAAATTGTATAAAGCTCTTCCTTCACTGAGCTATATAATAATTATTTATTATATTTAATATTATAATTATAATCATAACATTGTTTATAATATTGTTTTAGTTTTTTACCTTATCACCAATTTCTCTTGATATCTCTAAATGCCTTTTACAACATAACATAGCTTCGTCAAACTTTCCCATGACTTTTAACGTATTCCCTAAATTACCACTCGACTTAGCTTCTCCCAATTTATCTCCCATATTTCTTGCAAGCGTTAAATCCAATTTATGATATTGCATTGCCTTAACATAATCACCAAGATAAAAATATGCATTTCCTAGCTGACTATAAATTGCACTCAATATTCTCAGATCATCTGTTCCAGCTTGTATAGCTGCTTGGAAAAATGCAACACCTGATTTGCAATCCCCTGCTTTGCAGAGACGTTCTCCTTCGAGTGCTAATTCCAGACACATGTTCCATCTTTCGTTGTTCTAACAAATAATAATTAACAGTTATACTCTTAATGTTAATCTTAATAGAATTGAATGACAACATTTATCAAATCTTAAGTAAGTAATGTGTAAGATACTAGAATAAATTACTGAACTTAATTAAATTAATTATGAATACATGGTTGAGCTCCTATAATCTCTAATTACTATAATAAATAAATTCAACTTTAAAATAAAATGAATGTAAGGTTATGTATGACACCAAATAGAATGAATGTAAGAATAAATTAGATACAATAGTGCAATTATAAAAATAAGTCTAAAGGAAGTATTAAACATGAGTCATAGTATGAACAATCCTCTTATTAAAATACGTTTTACTTACTTGTCCTTCGGACGATAAATTTTCGGCACTGGCACTGAGCGACATCGTGTGCTTAGTTTTATTTCCTTTTTTTCTTGTTTTTAAATAATATTCTTAAATAATATTTATAATAATATTCTTGTAAATAATACTCTTGGTTATTTAAAACGTGCAATAAATAAGGTGGGTCTTACATATATGGCACGATATTTTTTTTTCTTCCTTTCTTTTTTAATAACAAATACTATTGTCCCAATTCACAATTTTCAACGTGTATCATGATTGTTATATATATAGACAATTTAATTATCAATCCATTTCAATGAATTTAATTACGTCACTTTTTATTACTTGTATACATAAGAAGTTCTACAACCTTTCCCCTTTCAGAATGCAACTCAAAGCAACTTTTATCTATAGTGAAGTGAGCGTCTAACGCTCAGTGGTTCTCAAACGATACAATTAACAACGTTTAATCTTTCTATATGGCATATGCGTCAATGAAAAAAGATGACATCATTGTTATCGCGTGTATTGAAAAGAGATACAAATTTTATACTTTAAACTAACCTATACTGTGTTTCTGATCAATGAGTTTATAAACTTTTGAAAATAATATTATAACCTCTCATGTGTATTTTTAATAAAGCTTTAAACTTTAAATATAACAATATATTATTAATTATTCTCTAAGTTGAATTATTTTAACGAAAAAAAATCATTATCTACCGTAACGAATTTAAAATCAGTTTCTATTAGTCGACTAAACTACATCACAGCGCTACTTCTGTCATAGCTCATTACTGATTCGCTGTTGACCGTCCAATCAGATAAGCTTATTAATATAGGTTATATATAGCTATAGTTGCACATAGAAACATGCATGTACATATATTTATATGTATATATATTTATATATTAGGGTACATATATATTGTACCCTATCTTTTGTGACTTGCTCTAGTATTGACGGGAATATTAGTGTGGAATGGATTTAGAATGTGTCATTAGAAGGTGTTATTCCATAATCTTGTAAATCATTTAACGGTGGTGTCCTTAATTAGCATTTATGTGTTATTTTTGAAAGAAAATAACTTAGTAAAGTGGAATACAAAAAGAGAATTCATCTTGAAGATTGCTCATCTTTGGAGCTTTAAATGCAACCTCTCTACTGAATATTTTTCACCTTACTTGGAAATTTCTTGTTGTAAGCTATCATTATATTGTATTTATTAAATTATTTATTTCCAAATATTTTGCATAATTTGTCACACATTTTTTGATCATACGGATGAGTTTCTTGAGATAGACAATGAACGATAATAAAAAGGTAGGTGAAAATTCCAGTAGTGAGGTTGTTAATCAATTTCGAAGCTGTAGGGATGTGAGCGATATTGTACCACTGTATACACCACGTGCGCTTTATCTAAAACCACTTGCAAAAGTAAATGTGTCTGTTAATCTTCCCCAACTGAAGACGCCAGGTAAAATCTTCTAAGTCAGCAGCACCCTTCTCTCTTATATTTTTTACCATCTTAAATATCTATCTTTATTTGTCAGTTTTATGTCACGTAAGTTATTTCACTTTGTTGATCTACCATTGGGGATGACTCTAAAAAAAAAAAAAAAAAAAAAAACAAATTCAAATTACATTTTGTAAATAAATTTATTTGATATATTGATATATCTTTGCATAATTATATTTCAAGTAAGAACATCAAAGTTTACTTATTGAGAGACAACTATCTTGGTTATCTTTTATTTACAAGTTTGTCGAGGTTTAATTGAAATATATTTTTTTTTCTTTTTCTTATTTTTGAACTAATCAATTTTATATAACTTATTTATCTATGCACAGTTTCAATGGTTCTCTCCTTCGTGCACAATCTGCATTAATTTACATCTATAGGGGGAAAAAAAGAAATAAAAAAAAAAAAAAAAGAAAAGAAAAGAAAGGAAAAATATTAAAAGGAATCTTCATAAACAGAACTTTCATAAAAATCTATTATATGTGGCCTTTTTAGTACAGCAGGTTTTTATAGAAAGTTAACTGCGATATAAACAGGAAAAACTATATCAACATGGGAGGTAATGGAGAAAATACGAACACTCATACTACCAGACGAGTTTGCTTCTCTGAAAGTAGCCAAAAGTACTTTGGAATTCATCAGACTGGAAGGAGATCTACGAGACAGGTGCAGACTGCAGCGTGTATTAGCAAGATTGGATGCTCAGCGTTTAAATTTGGCCGGATTTCCCAACGTGCTCAAAATTCGAGCAGCAGAAGCAAAGGATGATTTTCCTACTAGGCATAGTTGGGATTCATACTTCAGAGATGCCAAACATATGAATGAATTAAAACCTGGAGAAAGACCAGATACGATACATATTTCAGGACTACCGGTCAAATGGTTTATCGACGATGGAGGAAATGTACCTAACGAATTACTTATCAGTAAAATTTTTAAGAAATGGGGTCCTATTAGGCGCATCGATGTACCTGCTGCTGATAGATACAGGCCAAGAATGCGGCTTGGTTCAAATATACATAAATTCAGCTACGAAGATGGAATTTTCTTTGATGCTTATATTCAATATATTGAATATATGGATTTTGTTAGAGCAATGGATGCTTTGCGTGGTATGAAACTTCTTAAAAAAGAAGGACAAAATGCTCTTACTGCTGTGATAAAGGTTTGAGAGATATTATATTTGTCGTTGTATTCAAATTATATGAAATTCAACTAATCTTCATTGTGATCCATGGATTTTAGGTTGATTTTGATAAGACAAAGCATATGAGTGATAGTACTGTTGCTCACAGAGAATTTGAAAGGAAACGTCTTATAGCGCAGGATAATTTGGCTGCAGAAAGGCAACGTAGGAAGGAAGAAGTCGAAGAGAAGCGTAGAGAGGAACAAAAGTTAGTTTGTTACCTCTTTCTCATATATTTAATTTATTTTTTAAACATCGTTTATTCATATTCGAATTTTTACAGAAAGAAAGAAGAAGCTGATTCAGTGGCTAAAGCTAGTAGACGACAAAAACGAGAGGAAAAACGTAAACGAAAAGCCCTTACGATATTTCGTAAGCAGGAAGAAGATAAAGTTTCAATGAAAATAGCTAGAGAAGAACAAAAATTAATCAAAGCACAAAGGCAGCTTGAAAGTATCCGTCTTTTAGACGAATTGTTTGATAGGATAAAGGTAAAATATATTTAAAAAAATAAAACAAAAATAATAACTGTAATGAAATATTATAAAACCAAAGATTATATTCTTTTTACATATCATCAACAGATAAAAGTAGAAAGAAACGAAATTAAATTGGATCAAATATCAAATTCCGATATTAAGAAGGATGATAAGAAAAACGAAAAGATCAATGAAATTAGCACGAAATCTGAGTCGGGAGACGAAAAGAAAAATAAAAAAATGAAAAAGTTAAAAAAGAAGAAAATAAAGAAAGAAAAAAAGAAGAAGGTATAAATTTCTATCCTTTTTAAATCTTATCAAATAAAATATACTATGTAAAAGTAATTTTAATATTCTCTATATATATGACATATGTTTAAACAGAGAAAACATAAAAAGGATAAAGGATCTGGTTCTGGTAGTGAAACAGATGCTACAGATGCTGATAATTCTAGAAAAAAAATAAAAAGCGTCTTAACAAAAACGGTCACGTATCCACCAGCAAATACAGGTAAGGTTTTTAATTATTTAATTATTTCATATTTTTCATATTTAATTATTGATTATTTATTAACATAACAGGTCCAGTTCCCGCAGCTCCAGCACTTCCATATCCACCACCAATTTATTCAAGATTTCCTCAACATTGGTATTACGAAGCAACATTACCAATGATGTATCCACCAATAACAAGAGGCAACGGTAGAGGAGGTTCGCGTTTCTTACGTGGCAGAAATCGAGGATTTTTATCTTGGCGTGGTGGTGGAAATGCACATAATCTACGAGGATTTAATCCACAATTCTACAACGATCAATATTACAAATATTTTGCTCATTTAGCTGGTCAAGATTATCATGATTACGAGAGCGATTATGAGAGAAGTTCCCGATCTCGTAGTCGTAAAAGATCAATCTCTCGATCAAAATCTCGATCAAAGTCAAGATCCACGTCTAGATCGAGATCTAAATCTCATCCAAAATCCAGATCTAGATCGCGATCTCGATCAAGGTCGAGGTCAAGATCAAGATCAAGATCAAGATCCAGATCGAAATCTAAATCTCATACAAAGTCAAGAGGTGGAAGATCGCGAAGTCAAAGACGTAGCAGAAGCAAAAGTAGATCTCATTCGAGGAAAAGTAACAACAAAAGATCAAAAACGAAATCTAAATCACCACCATCGAGAAAAAGATCGCGTTCACGTCGATCAAGATCAAGAAAAAAGTTTCGTTCGAGAAGTCGTTCAAGATCTCGTAGTAATAATTCTAGAAGTCGATACAATAGACGTAGACGTAACGTAAGATCACCTTCCAGAGTGAAAATCACTCGAGCAAAATCACGTTCGGTATCGCCTAAAAGAAGATCACGTAGCAGTACGTGGTCTATGCCAAAGTCATTGGATAGAAGAAGTTGTTCGTGGTCAAAAACTATCGATAATACTAATTCTACTGGAGATACTCAAGAATCTAAGGAAAAGGAAAAGGAAAAAGATAATAAAAATCAAGAAACAGCTAATAAAGAAGAATCAAGATCTTCGCATACAGCAACAATATCGGAAAAGTAGCCTAAAAAACACATTTCTTTTATCCATGTGTTTTTTTTCTTTTTTTTAATATAATATATATATAATATATATATTGTATAATTTAATCATATTTTTTGTCGACGCATTATCTCAAATAAGTTCTTTCTTTCTTTCTTTACTTTTTTTTTTTTTTGTAATAATGGAAAATATCATTTGTATTTATATATGTTATGTATTAACATACAATTGTGTATTTATATAAATTTCTAATTGATATAATGTCGATACAGGATTGACTTTTTTTTTAAATGAATTTATTTTCATAGGCATATATAAAAAGAAAACATCTTCAAAATCTTTAATGCGAATAATGTCGTGATCGATGTTGATAATATTGATATGTCTCCTCCCCTTTACCGATGAATATACTTTGTACATAATATACACATACTCATACTCATTAAAAAAAAAAAAAATAGTAAATTACTACTTACTTATTGAAATACAAATATCGATTTGTAGATAACACACAGTTCTCTTGTGTTGTGTTATTGCGTTGTAAAATGTAGTAGTTTTTAAACACTCGTTGCCTTTCGTACGCGAGATTCTCGGTATGAGAAAGAATATAAATGAAAGGAAATCGATCTATTAGGATCTTGGTTTATTTTCGAAAAAACAAATTCATCTCTCAATAATAAATTAAAAAAAAAAAAAAAGATAAAAGTGGGGCAGTATAATAATAATAATGACGATGATGATAATGATAATGATGAAAGGAATAAAGAAAGAGATATCTCACCGATTTCATTCGACTTGCAAATTTATTTGTTCTTGGCATGAAAATGCGTTGGTTGGTTCATAGAGACACTGGTTTTTTTTCTTTTCTTTTTTTTTTTTTTGTTCTTTTTCTTAAATCGTCTTACTCACAAACATTCTCTTTCTTATATAAGATTCAATATTAAGTAATTATTAATTCGAGACATATACCATGTATGATCATCGAACTATTATATTTTCGCTATTAATTTATTTATATATCATCGGGTTAACTTAGTGCCATTTTTCTTTTTAAATGATTCGCAGTCACCCAACGTTTCTTCTTCACTTTTTTTTTTTTTTTTATTCTTCTTCGACATTTGTTTCTTTTTTTTTTATTTCTTTAAAAATATTTGCTACATTTCTCATAGCTATTTTTAATGTATATATATATATATGTATATATACACGCGCTTTTCGCATAATCGTCACCCCTCGTATGTTTCTCGGTTTAAACTATCATATTCAATGCTCCATAATGATCTCAATCTCTAATGGAAGATTTTTAACCATTCTGAACATAATATTTTATAGTTACAAATTTAACGTTATTGGCATTACTCTTTTTATTATTATTATTATTATTATTATTATTATTATTATTATTATTATTATTATTATTATTATTATTTTCTTCTCTACTATAATATAACTACGGTATATTCGGAATTGGTTAAATATTGACTACTTTCAAGATTCGTTGCGTGGGAATTGTTTCTTAAGATCAAACCGATAGCGTCTCTTTTTTCCCGTATTATCATTTATAATAATCATTTTTATTATTTTTAGCCGATGTATTTTTTCTCTATTTATAAGAAAAAAAAAAAAAAGAATAAACATTCAAGAAACTAAGAAAAATATAACCGAGAAAGTAGGAAAAGAAAGAATCAAGAAAATACAAGGTCCCCAATTTGATATGCACATATACGTGCATTCATATATGCATAGGTATTTATATATATATATACATTATTATTATTATTATTATTTTTTTTTGTATTATTTTTTTTTTAAAACGTATCGTTTTAAAATAAATAATTAATTTTTATACGAGACGAGCGCTATCATTTGCGAATAGTTTGTCTTTTTTTTATGAATTTCTTTTCTTTTTTTTTTTTTTATTTGGAGAAAGAAAGATAGAAAGAGAGAGAGAGAGATAAAGAGAGAAAGAGAAAGAGAGAGAGAAAAAGATAGAAACTAGAAATCTGTGTAATATACAATAATATACTCGAACTTATTATTAAATGTATTTTTTTTTCTTGTATTTTTTTTATTTTTTTTTTTTGTCTAAAAAGAGAATTTCTTTAGCCGATCATCGATCTGGACGCAATTGTAAAACTATAATAATTGTTTTATATTTGAAATATATTATATTGAACGTACAATACGTTTGAACGCACACGACATCATCGTCCTCCGCGATTTGCACGACAGGCATCGTAAGACTTTTAAGGACACCCCTTTTGTAAATTGCTTTTTACTTTTCTTCTCATTTTTTTTTTTTTTAATAACAGAAGTATTTTCCAAAGGTTTTTGTATTTTTTTTTTTTTAATATTTTTAATTCATAATGCCGAAAGTATATATTTTTGATACGATAGATTCTTCAATTTTGAAGAAGAACTTGAATTATTTTTAAAGGAAAATTTTCGAAAGTTTGAAATTTTAAGCATCTTTCCTATTCGATTGCTATTATTGTTGTTCCTTTTCTTTGATTTATTTATTTTCTTATGTTTGTGTGTGTGTGTGTGTGTGTTCGTGTATGTATATTTTGGTTCCAACGTTAAAGTCACAGTAATGACTTTGTAAGAATCGTTCGAGACGAACTTCTAAGGAGAGAAATAGAAAGAGAAAAAGATTTGTGGTTTAAAGACGAGCTTTTTTTTTTCTTTGTTTTCTTTTTCTTTCTTTTTTTTTTGGTTAAGAAAGGAGCTTAATCGGCGTAGAAAAGTACGTCGGATATAATATATGTATTATTTATTTTTCCGAACGTTTATTATTATTATTATTATTATTATTATTATTATTATTATTATTATCATTATTATTATTATTATTATTATTATTATTATTATTATTATTATTATTATTATTATTATTATTATTATTATTATTATTATTATTATCATTATTATTATTATTATTATTATTTATTTTTATTGGGATTGTTATTATTATTTTTGTTTTCTATATATATATATATATTTTTAATTTTTTATTTTTTATTCTCTTTAAATCTTTTTTTTTCTTCTCTTATTTATTTTGGCTGCAAAAAGATTTTGCGACAGCAGTAACAGATAATTTATTGTATTATATATATGTATATATCAAAGATAATATAATGTTTCTCGTGAAATTTACTCTCCTATTTTATTTTATTTTATTTATTTATTTATTTTTTTTTAATTTAAATCGTGAAAGTGAAAATTATTGCGAGTTAATACGATAGAAAGGAAGGAATTATTTATGTAATTGTATTGTTTTTTTTTTTTTTGACTGGCTTGTATACGTGGTACTTAAAGTTATAGTTGAACCTTTTTTTGTTTGCATTTATTATTTTCCTGATTTTTTTTTTTTTTTTTTTTTTTTTTTTTAATATTAAAGAAATGTGAAATCGAATGTGTATTTGTATGTATGTATGTTGTATGTATATATATGAGGTAACAAACCCTTGCATTCTTTTTCCATTTAATGATCTTATCATATAATTATTATTTTAAAATGTTTCTGCCTATTGTATTTCGTTTATCTGCAAATTCCTGTTCATTTATTTCTTCAGGTTTTTCTTTTCACATCTTGTAAGTATTATTAATAATAATAATGATAATAATAATAATCATAATAATAATTAATATTTGTTTCCATGAGTTTTCGTTCGAGCGGACGAAAAACAACGATGATGGATTTTTCTATATCAATCGTTATACTCCGTTCGTATTATGTATTTTTACATTTTAATTATGTTACGTTTGCATTCGCAGATTAAAACATTTTCCCTATTTTTTTTTTCTTTCTTTCTTTCTTTCTTCGTTTATTAATTTCTTTCTTTTCTTTTGTTTGTTTTATTTAAAAAAAATTATTACGTTTCCATTCAAACAACAGCTTTTAATTTTTCCGCACATACGCATACCTTTTATAAACGTCCACGTAAAATTCATTTTGTTTTGTTTTTAATTATGTACGTGCTCTTTCTATATATATATATATATATATATATATATATAATATATTTATTTTGCATTTAAACTTTCTTGTTATCACTATATGTGTTATGTGTGTGTATGTTTGAATTCACGTGTATGGTGTGTGTGTACGCGTGCGTGGTGGGTGGTATTGTGGGTGGGTTTGCATAACTATGATTTTCTGTAAAAGAACAATTTGTTCAAACTGGGAAAATGTGTGTGCTTTTCTCAATGGTTCTGAATCGACAGGCAGTATCTTGTACTTACGTTCATACGAAATTTACTCTTTTTTTCTTTTTTTTTTTTAATCTTTTTTTTTTTTTAATTTCTACTTTCTTTTCTTTGCTTTTCGTTTTTTTTTTTTTTATTATTTTTATTTTTTTTTGTTTTGTTATTTTTGGTATCCTTTTTTAATTGAAATTTTGTTGTTGTTGTTCTCTCGTCGTAAAATCTTTCGTAAGACTAATTCTTGTGTAATTTTCTATATATATATATATATTTTTTTTAAATTAAATAATTAGTCTCTTTTATCGTTCGAGTACTCGTTTCTAATCGTACGGTTTCTCTCACGTTGTATATAATAATTAATACTAATACTAATAATAATAATAATAATAATAATAATAATAATAATAATTATATTAACATTAATATATCAAGGAAATATTGTAAAACGCTGATACAAGGGTTTAAGCATCGATAATAAGAAATTTGCTTTTTTATTATTCTTTCTTCTCAATTGTTTCTATTTTTAATTAGTCGAGAGAGTGCATTTCTTAATTATTTATTTATTTATTTATTTATTTATTTTTAACCTCTTAGGCACTGCTGAATTTTGTGTGAAGTTGTTGGTTCAACAGACAATGGTTCACCATTTTCTACACGAGTACATTGAAATGAAGTATTTAATAATTAAATATTACAATTTTTCTTGAAAATATATTTCATATATACTTTAACTTGAACAAAATTTATTCTTTAATAATTTATATTTACTTTATAATAATAATTAATAACAATTACAATTATGGACAATTTACTTTATAATTATAATGAATAATACAATTATGTATGATATATTTTAAAAGATGTCATACGTGAAAGCCATTATAGTGGCGCGTCCTACTGGAAGATGCCATCCACGAAAACCACTATAATGACGCGTAGTGACTAAGAGGTTAATTCAATTAAAAATATAAGTTAA